TCACTTTGTCGCGGAGTCCTGCAAACAAGCTAACAATTTGAATCGCAGAATTCAATGATGATCCATAGCATTTCGGGCAGAGTGACCTTTTCCGTTGCTAGAAGTTGATAAGTTGCACAAACAGACAACTTTACCTTCCGGTAGTATCGGAAATGGGAAGGCCAATTATTTGAGCTAATCCGTAACTGACAGACTAACTCTCGAGTGATGTAATATAATTAATAGGACCTTAATGAATATCACATTTTTTTATTTTTTTTTATGCGAAAAGTTGCCAAACGAGCAGACGGGTCACCTGATGTTAAGTGAATACCGCCGCCCATGGACATCTGCCACACCCGAGGGTTACAGATGCGTTGACAACCTTTTTAAAATTGGGCTCCGGCAACCTCACTCACCAGACGAAACGCGAAAGTATTTGTCATACTTCCACTTTACGCTGGTCTTCTGTGAGGTTGTGGTACTTACCCGGACGGGCCTGCCCATTCGTGCAACAGCCGAGGCTGCTGCGTGGCCCTACCACCGTTAAGAAGGATTTCATTAAACCAAATAGTGAAACGCTGTTTTGTCTACAAATAAACATTCTAAGTAAGTAAATATTTAATATTTTTTTCGTATTTTGGGAAAATGAAGACAGATAAATATACAAGTTTTTTTTTATCTGAGTAGGTGGCAAGTGGGAGGGTTCATCTGATGTGAAGTACTAACTTCCATTCATGGACATTTGCAACACCGGTGGGGTTGCACTCACCAGACGAAACGCAGAAGTATGACATTTTCACTTCACGCCGGTCTAGTTTGTGTGTCACCCGGATGGACCTGCCCATTCGTGTAGCGACAACGAAGGCTGTTGCGTTGCTGCCTCTATCCTATCACAGTTACATATAATTTTATACTGATAAAACTTGAATTATTGTTATTCTACTTACTTCAGAGAACATCGAATCATTCAGACCAAAAATTTGAATGTCAGGGATTCAATAACACTGATAACAGTTTAATTGTACAGAATATAGTATAAAACAGTTGTTATTAACGTTTTACAACATAATTATTTGCCACGATTACCTACTACGAAAAAAATGTTCATGTATCAAAATTTATTATTATATCCTTAACAAATTTTATAGTTTTTATAGTGCTAATCTCTGCACTTAAGATTGAACATTAAAAGATGTAGAAAAAAGAATAAAGAAATAAAAGATCAGCCGTTTAGCTCAGTGGCTAGAGCGTCAGGCTGCGAATGCCGAAGACGTAGGTTCGATTCCCACAGCGGCGACAATCTTTTCGTACTTTTTCTACATGTTTTAATATCCTTAACAATTACAATTTTTTTTTTCAATCAACTATTCAAACAATTTCAATTTAAATAATCTACTATTTAATATTTTGCTCATTCAGGACCTACTCTTTTAAAATCTGTCAACACAACTGGAAGCCCACAGGAGTTGCAAATATTCGTGGGCGGTGGTAATCACTTAATATAAGGTGAACCACTTGCTCGCTAAGTAGATAAGTAGTTTTTTTACACATAAAATTGGTATCATGTTACCAAAGCGTATGCATGTAGATAAACAAGTTTTTTTTTATTATTAAATTTACATGTTCTACGATTATCGTCAAGTAAAAGTCTATGTGGGTCTCCCCGGCCACAAGAACTGGTGCCATTCGCTGTTTTAAATAAAAATTTTGTGGTTCCCCCTAAGCATACCTGTTACAGGTATCAAAGTTTTTAAAATACAAGCCAATATAATTCTGCAGTTGGAGACATAATCGCTGATTTTTATTAGTGCTGTTTCTTGACATTATTAGTTTACGTTACCGCGGTTTTATGTTCTTAATAGCACACTAAGAGTCTTAGTAATAGGGCCCTAAATATCAATGAAAAATTAAACTAAAGTAAAATTAAGCTTTAAGCTGGTTATAACTTATATCATAACAAGTAATTTATTATCAATAACTTATTATAATACTAACACACCTTTCAAAGTACTAGTACTCGTGGTAAGTAATAAACGGCATTATTCAAAAATTCTCATACGCCTATTACCACAATTTAAATAACTAGCAGCTTGTCCAAACAGTTCACGGTGGAACCAGCCCTTGATCGGTGGACAGTCTTGACAGTGACTCCGACCTTCACCCGTCCGCCATTATGCCTGCCCGATTGAATCGACGCGATGTCGTAAATCGATTTTATGTTCGTTCGATGTTAATCAATTGGCGGTGATGCTACGCCGCTCCTTCTTTTCAAACGCTCTATAAAGGTGTTTGAATGGACATCGGTCGGCTCGGAAACCGCTAATGGTTTCCGTAACCACATTAGGACCTTTAGCTGGGAGTGGGGATTTGAGCCTACGCTGATTATTTTGACGCGGAACTAACTGGTTAAGCTCTACTAGTCCTCGCGGTTTTGTGGCCCAGCCTGGTATAAATAAGACAAAATCTGATACTTAAAGGAAATTAAATAAAAGTATACCTGCGAACATAGATTCACAAAAAAGACGCATGCCATGCTGCGGGATAAAACTAACGTAGTATGCATATGACTGCGAAAACCGATGCTATTAAACACTATTGCGACTATCAACTGGAAGAAAGCAAAAATCTATTAAATGCGTAAATCAAACCCTAATTTTGAGAACAAAAAAAGACGACACTGCCAAATCAAATCAAATCATTTATTTTCAATATCATATAAAAGTGGAAAATGTAATATACTTGGAGCTATTGAACTTGGAATTATTTAATGTGCTTATATCATGTAACGAATCTAATATGTTATTTCATGCCTGCAGATTTTGCTCTGAACACGTACACTAAATACATTTCCATGATAAGTCTACTTTACTTCCCTATTTCCAACTCCCGGTGCTTTTTGTACCAAGAAGTACGCCAGAGATAATAAAAAAATATTACATTGCCTGTGATGGAGAAATTTGTCTTTTAAATGTATAGATGTACATGTGAAGATGTAAAATAATAGCTCCATAACGCTACATAAAGGCTCCAGTTTAAATACGGGCTTATTTTTAATAAGCGCATCGGGAGAATACACTTTCCCATTGAATATGATATATCCCATACGGCTAGGACAGAAGTGCCAAAAGGTAACCGAATTCACCAGGAAATAATGTGAGAAAACTAGATAATTGTGCACGTACTAACAATAAGCAATACCTCAAGTCTTAAGTCAACGTCTTTTTGAATTTATTTTAATGTTCCGTACCCAAAGGGTGAAACGAGGTCCTATTACTGTTTGTCTGTTACCAGGCTGTATCTCATGAACCGTGATAGTTAGACAGTTGAAATTTTCACATATTATGTATTTCTATTACCGCTATAACAAAAAATACTAAAAACGGAATAAAAAAATAATTAAGTGTGGCGTCTCACAGATCAGTACGGAACCGCACGTGCGCGAGTCCGACTCACACTTGGCCGGTTTTTTAACTAATTAACGAAAATTAAACGAAACCTTCTTTTTAATTCCTGCTTAATCGTCTGTATTTAAGTTTTACAAACAAACTAAGAATTTACTAATAACTAAACACTCAACTGTCTTACGAGGCTCGTTAAATAACACAAAACAAAAAGTGACTCCAAGTGTCCAATTTGTGTTGGATCGACCATAAAATTGACAACCGTAAAAACGATCCTGACTAATTAACGCTTTATATTTATGTTCCTTTGTCGTGGTTCAGCAATTATTGTCGTACTTTGTTCAACAAGATCCTCACGAAAAACTAAATGTATTTCGTGCACCTGTACAGATCTGTTAACAACCTAGTTGATGAAATCTGTCAATATGACATTGACTTCTCAGCCACATTCACGAGCTTCGATTTGGTGTACAGTTGATAATGCGTTATTGCGTTATTTGCGTCTTTTGGTCATATTTTTGGTAATGAAATCGATGAATCATGACATCGACCACGATGTGAAATGATAATTATTAATTAATAATCTCATTAACAACATTTATGGGAGTAACAAATTTAAAAAGTGACATTTGAAAACCAATATAACTTTGGTAGAGCTACGCAACCTCTCTTATGCCCGTTTCATATATTCAACGAACGACCGTTAGTTACATAGCTTCGTAACTTTCATAACGACGAAAAGGCGTATATCCCGGTTCCTATATTAACAAAACGAGGCGTTATCCTTAGGAGCCGTTGCATTACCTACGGAAAGTGTGTTACTAGCGTGCCTTTAATCTACAAGTTGTTATGAAATTTACGAAGCTATGTAACTAACGGCCGTTCGTTGAGTATAGGAACCGGGCATTAGCTGTTGTACTAATGGGCAGGACCATCCGGGGAAGTACCACGACCTCGCAAAAGACCAGCGTGAAGTAGAAGTGTTATACTTCTGCGTTGCCAACTATTATTAAAAGGCTTTCCAAAATATTTATTACTGTCCTCATAACACATTTAGAAACGACCATGATTTAAATCTGACTACAATATACAATATTCTAGACCGTTTTAATAAATATGTTAAGAATATAAAGGTATAAGTGATCCAAAAACAATGATAATAGTAACATACGACATAGATAAAGTGAAAAGTAAAAGTAAAGTAACATCCTATACATTTCCCAAAGCAGGGCAAAGGCCTCCTATGTACAGAGGCTTATATAAAAACATACCGCAGATTGAAATTTGGAAATATTTTTAGTTACTATTAAGAAAATATGCAGGTTTCCTCACGATATTTTCCACCACAGACCACATGATAAATCAGCACTTAAAATCGCAACTGATAAATTCATTGGTGCCAGTACCGGGATTAGAACTCGGGTTTATCGAGTATAATTAATAAAAACATTGAATAAAAAGGGAGCGCTCGGAAACTCTGAGCTATTTGAGCTCCTTGAGATAACCTCATGATTTGTGCCTTTCAGTTTCCTTTCTCTTAAGTCGATTTTGAAATTGTTAACATTTAAAATTTCATTTAAGTATTTTTTTTTTACTTATTCCTTTTAACTATTTCAGATCTTCTTTACGAGAATTACATTCCCAACGATCCAGTGAAGCAAGACAGCATACTCCGAAAGTTATCTGACTACTGCGGCAAATCGATGTTCAACTACACAACGGAAGATGAGGAACCGCCCTTCAAATGGGACTTCTACCACTCATTTTTTTTCTCTTATACTGTAGTCAGTACTATTGGTAAGTGTCAACACACTTGTTTTTTAAATTAATCGAAGTATACGCATATAACTAAATAAAAAATACAGTGACAACAGAATCTATGGACTTATCCCGTGATATTCAATCATTATTATTTACCATATAAATGAACAGAATTAGTAATTGTAGTATTCATGATACAATAATCTACAATGTTAATAACACATGACATTTATTTAAAATGCTATTATCTTTAACTTTGTTCAAGACTATTTGATTAAATTTCAGGTGATTGAAAGCAAAAAATATATTTGATCTTTAAAAATTTTCAGGTTATGGTAATCTGGCACCAACCACCCATTTATCCCGCATTTTGATGATATTCTACGGATTGTTCGGTATCCCTATCAACGGTATCCTCCTTGCAAATCTTGGTGAATATTTTGGACTACAGGTATACTTTTAAATCAGAATTTTTAATATAAATTTTTTATCTTTACATTGCTTCAATGAAAGCTTGTAGCTTAATGTTTTGGGTTCCTTTTCGTATGCATTAGTTGTCGCTACGAATTCTCTTTAAATTCCTGCACAGTATTTAGAGAGGAAAATATTCGTCTCTTTTGAAGTAAACTTTACAAAGGTGTACAGTTTATGTATAATAAGTTTTTATTTTTCAGCTCATATCGACATATAGGAAGTACAAAAAACGAAATGAGAAACGCGCCGATAATTTAGACTACTTCTTTAACAACCTAGGCATGTTGGGCCAAATCATGCTGTACCTTATTCCCGGATTCCTTTTTTTCATATTTTTGCCAGCTTGCATCTTCGTCGTGTTTGAAGGCTGGGACTATGTTGCTGCCATATATTACGCATTCGTCACCCTTACAACGATAGGGTTTGGTGATTTAGTGGCAGGTTAGCAAACAGTCGACCATTAATAATGATTAATTAATTTCTTTTACCAAATGTAGGTTGGTTAAGGCACCTATCCAATAATAGTAATATATAAATCGTAATCAACAATATATAAATCGTAAATATATAAATGATAATTTAAACGCTCCGAAAAGAAAATGACATAAATCTTTTATGGTTTATACATATTTTTAAAAGAACCCAATTCACATTTTCCGTTTAAAGGTTTTTATTGTTGACACGATATCTGAAGTCTTTTTATCGACAGGTTGATCATTCAACTAAAGTTTTAATTTCTGACGAAACTTCGACTCCGAGAGGTCGAAAGAAATATTTTGCTCTGTAGTTATTGACCAATTATTTATGTTATTATGTGTTTATTGAAGACATAAATTATTAAAATTATATTAATACTGTATTATGTGTTATTAAAAAAATAATACTTAATACTGTTTTTGAAAATTGCAGGAACCATCAATAATGGGTTTAAGTATGGTTACTTCTTCACATACCAGATATTCTTAATCGTGTGGATTACCTTTGGCTTGGGTTACATTGTAATGTTACTCGGCTTTATTACCAGTGGCATGAGGTCTGAGCGAGTTCATAGATTGGAACACAAACTAGCAAACCAATTGAAAACAACTCAAAACAAAATATTCCAAGGGTTTACAAAAGATATTGCAATAATACGGAAGATCATTAACGAGGCAAATTTACTAAAGCTTAAAGTAAGTAAACATTTTTTTTTTCAGTATAGATGTATAACATAGACTCTTATATTTATTCTAATATGAATATAGTCGTGGGTGTCCGCAATAAGACCTTTTTAATAATATATAGACAAAGCTTCTTGTGACTGTACTGTACGCTTAGAACATGTTTTTTACACATTAGTGAGGGCAAATACTTTGAAAAACATTAAATATTCAGTATTACGGTCGTCCTAAAATTATTACAAATAGTCAGGCCTACTTTTTGAGCAACCAAGTCGTTCCAGTTAGGCAAGTAATAAGCACAACTAGTAGACTCCCGTTATCATAGAAGTTTTGACTAGTGTCCTAAGACTAAGGTGTCCTTTGTCCAAAGTCGTCGTTTTGTCGTAAGAGATGTTTAAAAGGAGAACTGAGGTCACGACTGATCGAGACTGGGACCATTTGTCATTGGTTAACTGTCTAAAGACCTAAAAATCATTGAAAATATACTAAATTTTAAATACAATAACATTTTTAACACGTTTTTACATATATTAGTATCGATTACAGTCGTGGCTGAAAATCCTGTTTTGGTTGGGCCCAACGTTATGTTATATAGTTTAATTGATAAAATTTATTGTATTAAAATAATTTGCTTTTGTCCAATAATTTATAAAGTTTTTGGCATTAAAAAAAAAAATTCGATACCAATTTTTTAATAACTAGCGACCTTCCCCGGCTTCACACGGGTGCAATGTATTGAACTCTCTTCTTGAATCACTCTATCTAGTAAAAAAAAAACGCATGATGGGATGTACAGAAATATAGAAAAGTGTTTCTTAGAAAGAATTTTTTTTTTCATTCATTAGAACCTTATCCTGATAATAACAAAGACAACAAAAAAAAAAGTGAAATCAGTCCAGCCGTTCACGCGTGATGGCGTGACCAAGGGAAATAGGGATTCATTTTTATATGTATAGATCCAAAGACATTAATTTTATTAATTTGTCTATCCATCTCAAATAGACATTTAAAAATAAATGCTCATATCTGATCGACACATGTTTCTTTTCTTATTTTCAGCCAGTGTATGTGGAGGCTGCGCCCTACCTTCATAGAAGTGCTAGTTGTCCTATTTTGACGTTTGATATTGAACCGAGAGGAACTGTTGAGAAAAGGAAAAGAGCGAATTCTGAAAATATTACACTATCTGCTAAAGATATGCTACGTATTCAGTCAGATACTGATTTACTAGGAATTGACAAAGAAAAAACATTTACAGCGTCTGCTATAGTGAAACCAGCGGAACTGTTAGCGAGAGTTGTAAATGTATTAGGTGGGTTTGAAGTGCAAAATGACAGAGGTATACACATGTTTGATGATGATCTCATATTATCTACGGAAAGACCACCTATATTTAGAATAGGTAAAGATGTAATATGTAGTTCTCCAAAAAGAACTAGAGCTTTAAGCGTAGCTGTGCCTAATTATAGAAAAGAGTCTGTATCAAAATTGGACCATGACTTTACGTGGACTAATGGTGATACAGCAGAAAAATATAGAAAAGAAGCAAGTATACGAAGTGGTAAGCTATCACTGCCCACAAACATTAATTCCGTAAATGATGAAAAGATTTCTCAGTCGAAAAGTTTGTTTTCAAGATTATTTAGAAAACCTAGTGCAAGCGAAAGTCCTGCAGAATATATCAAAAACACGATGAAAGGCAGGGTAAGCTTAGCACAAGGGTCTAATGAAAATATTCAAGAGAAATCAAGACGAAGTAGCGGCTTTTCATCATTTGGTGTTGGAGGAGAACAAAAAAGTGACGAGAATGCGTACAAAGAAAAAACTAAGCGTGGTAGATACAGTATTTTCCAGATGTTTGATTCCAATAAAGAAGAGGATGAGGAAGCAAAGGCGTATAAGGAGAAAACGAAACGTGGCCGGCACAGTATTTTTCCATCTTTCGATTTTTCGGAAGATGAAGATACGGCCGCGGCTAAAGCATACCAATATAAACCAAAAAGGCACAGTATTTTCCCGACATTTGATTTCAGTGAAGATGAAGACGCTACTACGGCTAACGAATACAGAGAGAAAACTAAGTCGGGTAGACATAGTATATTTCCTACGTTTGATTTCAGTAATTTGGAAGAAGATGCAAAACGTTATAAAGAAGGAACCAAACGTGAAAGACACAGTATATTCCCTACATTTGATTTTAGCAATCCCACAAGTAATGATGAAGATGATACAGTAGATGAAGAAGAGGTACAAAAATATCATAACCGAACGCGAAAGGGTCGACTCAGCTTATTTCCTACATTCGGTAGATCAAAGAAAGAAGATGATGACACCTTACCGGAAAGCTCTGATGAATTGGTCAATTACAAAGATAAAACACGCCATGGTCGAAGTAGTTTGTTCCCTAGCTTTGGAAAAGATCGTAAAAATAGTTCACCATGTGCTAGTACAAGTGACATTGAAGCGAGTATTAAACAGTATCAGAGGCAAACGAAAAGTGGTCGAAATAGTTTATTTGCAGGTGACGTACAAAGTTATAGAAGAGCTACCGAAGCAGGTCTAAGAAGTCAGTTCTCTAGTGATTTAAATGAATATAAAAATATGACTAGACGCGGTCGTCCTAGTTTATTCGACCCCGATTTGGATCTATCTAGCCTACCAGAATCGGCTCAAATCGAAGTACTGGAGCAGACAAGTGTTGCTGACTTACTTCGAGCTTTGGCAGCTTTGGAGACTGCTTCACAAGTAGCGAATAATACAACTGAACTATCCAGCGTGTCCGATAATGGAAACTATAGAAGGCGAGGTTCTCTAAGACCCGATTTCTCTTTACCACCACTGCCTAACCGAACAGAAACCGACGAAGCTACAGGGCCAAGGCGAAGAAGAGTTTCTGCTAGAGCCGCTGCACCACAATTTACTCCAACCTTAGCAACAGTTGTTGCCGGAGCCGAGTTACAAATCACGGCGACAGCTGCGCGAGAAAACAGAATGACCATGTTAAATCAACCACCACCTCCTTATTCTGAAAACACTCCAGATGAGGAGCCGCAACAACCTAAGGCAAGGAGGTATTCGCCTGCTCCAAATGATCTTAGTAGATCTACCGGTCCTGTACCAAGACTATTCTCACGTATACGAAAAGAGAGTGGCTCAAGCCCAGAATCTAGTTCCAGGCGAGGAAGCTTAACAGATATTGTCATAGATAGTAGCAAAAAAGATACATCGTAGTCCTACATGCCTACTTAGAGAAAGTTGAGTACGACGAATGTACTTAGATGTAATTTATTTCCTAGCCGTCCGTTTTAAGAAATGCCTTGCAACATTCCCTAAATAAGCTATTAGTAGCTCTGTAATTTAACGAGATTAACGACATATCTTTTCTGTTTTCAGATTTCTAGCTCTAGTAAATTTAGGGAAACTTTTATATAGTTTACGTATTTATTATTATTGTTGTAAGTGAAACTACAAATGGTATGTGATATGTTTTAATTAATATTTCCGGATAAATTTAACCTTATATACAACAATTTACGAAGTTGTGTCTAGTCTTTACACTAATATAGTGTACAAAATAATAAATATGTTGTTGTAATTGAACACGGTCATGCAGACATAATGTCTGTTTTGATATCAAATGCTTCTTTTAATAATAAAATGTGCCTTACCGTTTATTACAATATGAATTATACAATGCAAATACACTTTGTTTCATTATTTAGGCACCATGATTGTTACATCATTTATTTAATAAGTTTAAGAATTAAATACAGTAAAACTACATAAAAAGAAATAAAGAATTAACAATAAAAATGCGACTATGTTTTCTGTTCGAAGATTATGCCCATGTCACACTTATCAATAACTTCTCTTTACTGTATTACGGTTTTTTTTAATATTTTGATAATTAAAATTTGCATTTTTATGGATATTTACTTATCAACAATTAATAACTTATTTGTTCATTTTCAAATAAATCGCACTTAATTTCACTTATAAACCAATACGAAAGTTTAAAATGGTGGTTTCCTATGCTACTCGCAATGTGAGTATTTTAAAACTTATTGTTAATACAAAAGGGTCTTATTAATTATAGCTATTTACAATAAAGACTACCAGCCGTCTCGCGTTATTTACAATCCGTTGTGACCTCAGCAATAGAAAGTTCTCTACGGTCACCGGTCATTACAAAGCAGTACCTATTACTGCAGGTCGAAAACACAATTTACACAAGTTCAAACGTGCTAATTTTCAAGTTTCAAGTGGCTAAACTGTCCCGCCGAACGTTTTTATCCAAGCTCAGGTCCGAATAGCACTGTTCGATGTTTCCATTGTCATCCTTCGTTAAGGACTCGAAAATGGAAATGAGGTTGTTGATACCGATGAGGTATCCATCTTCATGGTTGCCGACTTTCCAAGCGGAGTTGTGGTCGATATTCACATTTTCGGGCACGGGTACGGTCTTTGCGAAGTCGATCATCCAAATGGACGCCTTCCTTTTGTCGTGGACGAAGAGCAACGAACTGCCGATAAGCTCGTGCGTTCTGAAGAAATGCGACTCTATCAATGTCGCTCTGATGTTTTTCAGCCTTTCAAGATACCTTGGCTGTTGAAAGAAGGTTTGATTTAAAAAAAATCAGTGGAAAAAGTCAATTAAGGAAAAAATATGAATCAACGACTTTTTATTTCTTTTTTTTTATTTCCCTAATATTTCAATGGTTCAGAAATATAAATATAGTAACGTAATAAATATTACTAAATTTATACAACGACGTTTTTAATGAAAAAGGGATTAAATGTGTTCTAGTGAGTTAGCTATTGTCCAAACCAACTTCTTAATATAAACAAAGATCTCAAATTGCAGTTAGTTCTATGTCGGAGGTACACAGTGAACAAGTAAATGTGCATTGAAGTCCCTTACCACTGCATTTGGAAAACTGCTTGTAAAATCTTGAAACGCTTCTACTATCTGTTCTCTAGTTTTTGTGGTCTTAAAGTCTTTCGAACTGGTCCCATCAGCCTTCTTTACTCCATCTATCCTAAAACCGAGCGTTGAAGTCGAGCTTATAGTCTCTCTCCAAATCATATATCTCGGCTTCGTAACGCCTTTGCTTCTATGTTCTTCTTCCGTTGGCGCTTTTGGATCCACCTGTATCATTTTTTCATACATGTCCTGCAATGACAATAAGTATTCAAATGAAAAATATATACATAAATCACAAATTTTCACGTAGAAGTATATTTAAATGTTTTCTTAAATATGTAGGTTTGTTGATAAAGATTGTTTATTATAACACTATTCACTATTTGTTTCAATTGACGTCATAAATATAAATAGAGCATAGGAGCATATAAATGTTTGAAAACATTAGAAACAAACAGATAGCAATGTTATCAGTGACGATTCTGTGTTAGTAACTCTTGAACTGAATTTCAAATCTCACACATCTAATCTATAAATGAAATAATTGTATTATGGGCTGCTATATAATATGTTTTGTAATATCTAACAGTATTTATAAATTTCTTTCAAAGAGCTTTAAACAATTTGTATCCATCGATGAAATATTTTAATTGTCTATGTTGAACTTTAAAATCTTTATCAAAACTTTGTAATGGCAAACAATTATATATATTATAAAACCAGCATAACAATTTCCATATACTCAAGAGTATTTTACAATATTTTGCAGTAAGAAGATATATACTTTATACAAATGAAATACTTGTTACTTGCATCAGAACTAGTTGATACGTATACAAGCAAAGACTGATGCCCGCAGACTTATGTCACTTATGTTACCCTTGGCTTTTTAAAATGTAATATTTGTTCCTCAGAATGAAAGCAAAGTTACACTTACTTTTCTCAATTTAGTTTTCTCCTTCGCTTTAGCTAGCTCCTCTTCTAAATATGTCCTGACTCCAATCTTGCAATCCATTACGCATGGTGAATCAAAATCGCTAAGCAAGTCTTGAAGTTGGAGGTACACTGTTATAAAATACTGGTTAAGGATCTTTTTTCGTATTGTCTTCTTAATATACTTAATAATCCATAATGTGTTTATATTTTATTTTTGTATACTTTTGTAGAATGCCATGTGTATATAATTAACATAAAGATAAATTTGCCCAATTTAATTCGTATAATGTATACTTTCGTAGAATGCCATTTACCTTAAAGTTGATTTTGTCTACTTCACTAGTTACTTTTTTTAAATATGATTGATGTGAGGTTATGATGGAGATTAGATTGAAATTTAAAAGAAATAAAACACAAAGCAACCTCTAAAAAGTACACATGTGGCAATCATTATTTGAGTAACTTTTACTGTCTCATATTAAGAAAAGGATACGTTCTCCATCTTCGCATGTCACTTGGCCCTTGTATTCGGGGACAAACGGCCGAAGGATGTCTTTCATCAGTAACTGGAAAAATAAGAGAAACTTTATTTAAATGTGTTCAAGTTATAAAAAATGTCATATATTTTTATTCATTCGTCGATAGATAAAGAACAATGATCTTTATTACAGTCGCCCAGAAGGCTTCAAAATAAGTTAAAAAAACAGAAAAATATGTTTTGCAACACGAGCCATCAACACAATATACAAACATATTGTCCGTTATTAGAAACATTTTTGATGCGAACCGTCGAATCTCTTTTTTGTTTAATATACTAAGAATATATTACGTTCGATGTGTTTACGGCATATATTATTTATTTTGTTATCAACGAATCAAAGTAATTTAAATGGAATATGCACAATTCCAAAAGTACTACTATTTTTGCTCTCATGTTGTGATTGAAATACGTACAGAACATCTTCCAAACGCAATTCTCCTATGCTGTAAACTCATAATACCTATTAGGATGATCTATATATTTATACGACAGAGATTGTACGAGACTAAACATCATAATAATGTCGTTGTTATGGCTAGATTGCGAATTTCTCACGGCGCGACTTTGTTTCAGCTATAAGTAGCGACATTCAGTCAAGCTTATATATCATTGTCTTTAACTATTGAATTACTTCGGACTTTTTCTTTTCATAACACTTATAGTTAAATACATATAACTGTTAATATTGTGATGTGTAACGATCCATAATTTCGGAATATATGTCTATTCATACCTCACTATAATTAAATACAAAATGGTTTTAATTAAATACAAAAAAGTTTTATTCTTTTACTTTTACGAGATTATTTATTACTTCTTCTTTTGATTTTTACCATAATAATTACTTGTACCTATAAACTATAAACAAGCTGACTATCGATAAATAATTTAAAAAAAACGAATTCTTCATGATAATTAAATATGCAGCATATATTGTTCCAGTAAATTATGATCAGGCGATAGATATCCTATACGAAGGGAAGTCTGATGACTAACTTTTCACACAGCCTTTTTAATATAGTACCTACGTTTTTTCCTTGAAACACGCAATTAATACTGAATAACACTAACACCATTCGCGTGCGTCATTCCACAATTAATTCAGCAAACGATAAATATATATGAGATTCTTTGCTATAATTAACGTTCGGAGGTGTGTCTAGATTGTACGCCGCCGATGCGTCAGACTAAAGCAACACCGGCAAATACAATTGTGATTTTTACATCCTAAGAAATACGCACATGACCGTTATGACCCGTAAAGTGCCGGCCTGTGATCGTATTAATCATAGTATACGGTTATTTTTAGATGTCAAAACTGTTTAGATTTAATTGTTTTATGTGAAAAGGTGGCGGTTCATACTGAGTGATGGCCGCCGCCTTTGGATATTTGCGACCCGCCTAACATTGAAAATGCGTTGCCAGCTTTCAATAAAGGGGGCCCCGGCTACCTCATTTACCAGACGAAACGCAGAAGTATATAACACTTACACCTTACGCCGGTCTTCTGTGAAGTCGAGGTATGTTACGTGGTTGTCTTTTCATTGATTTGAGTAACGCTTCCGTTTTTTTTTTTCTGAATTTTAACAGAGTTGTGTTTGAATATAAGTAACTAGTAATGTATAAGTTATTTTTTATAATTATCATGTATGGTCCTTTGCCACAAACAAGTTTCCTTTTAGGGATATTGATTTCTAAAAGTCATCAATCGTGAGCCTAGCTCCGTATGCCGACAAGTTTACGAAAATTCGTCCACCTACTATGTACCATATTGTACCAAGTCATAACAGAAACAAAGTTCCTCTTGGGGTTCGCTGAAATTATAAAGAGTTTATGATTATGAACTTTCAGGGGATAATGCTTTTTCTATTTAAACAAAAGAACAGAACAAAAGCTTTACTCCAATCAAAACTTGGGAACGTATATATAATTAATTAAAATTTGTGGAAAAAGTACGAAAGGATTGTCGCCGCTGTGGGAAGACACTGTAGCCATTAAGCTAAACGGCTGATTGTCACACCGACGAAAATCTTAACGTCTTTTATCTACATTGTTTTTAGCAATTGAAGCAATGCTTGGCGCATCCATTGTTATATCCTTTCCAGCAAACGGCAAACGGCAACATTTCCCACAGCGGCGACAATCTTTTCGTACTTTTTCTACAAATTTTAATGTTTAATCTTAAGTGCAGATATTAGCACATTAAAAAATTTAAATTTCTAACGTATGTAATTGTTATGTTGTTAAGCAGTTTTAAAACCAGCTAAATGAAGATACCGTATTACTATTATAGGTGATTGGAAAAACGTTGAAGACTAACTCATATCAAAGATCTAAGATCAAAGATCCGAACTTCTCTGTGTATTTTAAAATACTATTAAAGAAAGCTCGAGTAATAGTTTGCTTACCGAATCCTTCAAAAATAAGTCCAAAAGCAACTGCATTGCAAAGATTTGATAAACTTTGATAGTACACTTTGGTGACATCACAAATCCCAGGCAGCGACATTCTGTCATCAAATGTCGCTTCAAATATTACACAACACCAAATATCGCTTCTTAAATATTACACAATACCAATAATCGCTTTTTAAATATTATACAATAAACACGTTTGTTTTATATGAGAGTACTAGAGTACATTTTATGCATGCAACAAAACGAAACCACTCGGTGAAATTTTATTATCGCATTGCAATATTATCAAATGACAAAGGTTAAATTGCTTTTACTGTGAAAATGAACTACTATTTTAAATTCAGTGTGACGCATTTTAGGACTGCGACATATCCAAACTCGTGCCTGCGATTGACGTCAATGGGCGAACTCAGAGTGTTAAGGTGTAAAGTTTTATGCCGTTTACATTGTGAAATTTAATATTTGTAAAGGAGGACATAATGCATTGATGTCAGTTTATTCAATGTTACAAACATATATGGATCGTTCATTTTTATTGATCGGAAACAAAATAACGAATACATCTTTTTATATAAGATACGTTTCTTTGACAAATGCTTTTTCATATTAGCTATTCACAAGAGCTTAAATATAAGAATGTTGAATTAATTATACTTGTATTGTTGGAATGTATATAGGAACGTGAACATGGTATTGAAAAGAAAATATGTTGTTAACGGTCGCGTTCTTCTAGCTTCAGTTAAATTTATATACAAGTATATGTACTGTTACTATCTATGTTCATTTACCTAAAAAAAATCCTATTTAGCAGTCAGACTACGGTTGAAAAAAGGCTCTCTATAAGAATGACAATACGAACGACACTTTAAACATTTCAGTGTATTTATTTAATTGGTTTTTCGATTTTTGAAGTGAATCTTTTGAAGTGAAACTTCTTTATCGGGGTTGGAAAAAAATTTAGTGTAACATTTTTGCGTTACGCGCCATCTTTTTCTTATCTTAAAATGTTCCTCTAACGCCATCTAGTGTTGAATTGGGGGTTTTGTTCATAACATTATATATGGTTTCAATAGTTGATCGCAAAATGGGTTTATTTTAATTGTAATTCAATAAAATGTAAACAATATATTTCGTATTTCAGTTACCATAAGCCATTAATAACACAAATATATAATAACGACATCAATGATAGTAATAATTCTATTACAATTAATGAAATTCAATAATAATATTTGTAGTAATGACAGTGCTAGCTCTAATACTTCAGAGCACGACACTGTGTCGACTTCCTCTTCTCCAAAGGCAGGCACCGCCCACCGTGACCTGACTGCGCCTTCCACCGAAGACACAATCTGAAGCTGACTGATGATGCTCTTCGAAACCTCGATCGGCTCCTGGAACTTGCGGTTGCGACGTCGATCCAACGTCCGCAAGTCCGCACTCACAACACTCGCGCGCGAGTCGAATGTCTGCCTTCTGACTATTCGGCAACGAAGGACCATGTACAAATTCAAAGCGGTTGTATTTTGGGTCCGTGAGGTTAATTGAAATAAACAAGGTTCACGTTGCAAGTATTTTAATCAACAATTTTTGCGGACCCTCATACTAATTACAACGGTCAAACCATAGTGTGTTTTAATTTACTACTAACGCCACCTATGTATTACAAATAAGAAACTAAATATTATACAAAGCTAAAATGAAATAATTGTAGAATTTGTATTTATGTCTATGATAATAAAAGCCTTTTATTAAACTTTATCTAATTAAACTTTATTTAACCAATTTCTGTAAAGTTGCATATAGTAAATTATTTTTTGAAAAATAACGTCATAAAAAAGTTTCACTTCTTACGAGTGTACGCTAGTACACGCACACATTTTTTTTTAATATTAACAGTGTTCTTAAATGAAGTAACTACATTTGAGCTTCATTGTCGATTTACGAAATAACTCCAATTCTATTATAAAATCCATGGCTTTTTATTTTTTAATAAACCACGTATAATAAGACGAGATAATGAGTGAAATTACTTAACCACCGATATTGACGTCATTGTGCGATGATTAAACTACGTTGCTTTTATAACAGTACAGTGTTAATAAAAACCGCAAGGTTAATCTGTAGCTTCTATTTGACGTCAAGAAGATGAACTTTTTACTGGTAGTTGAATTACTTATCCTGTTTTGGCCTGATTCATCATTGTTTTAGTGTCGGTCGAATCTCTGAAAACTCACTCTAGTTTCATAACATGTCATCTATTTTATGTACGTTAATATTATCTGAGTGGAAAATTTAGACTGTATGTATTTTTAAGGCATTGCAAAGGTCTGGAGAAAATATATAAATAGTTTATAGTAAAATTACTTAGGCCGTCCATTTTAATTTTTACTTCTAAATGAGCTTTATTCTTATTTCTGTTTTATTTTTCTTTCATTATATGTATCCGGGCGATATCACGAGTTCAGCGTTCAATTAAGATGGAAAACAAAATCGTCGGTAAAAGTAAAGTCTCTATATATGTATCACTCATATAAATTCCGCCACTCTATTCAAAGATAGACACAGGCAATTATACTCGAAAAAGTACGTGGCAATCTGCTGTCACAGCAAACGTACCAAGAGGGAACTTAATATAATATTTTATTGTATCAATTAATTTTCTGTTTTTGTGAACAATCACCTTTATATTATGAGGCAATTAGCCGCACTCAGAGACTCAACTATCACTTAGCCATCGTAGACTGAAATTTAATATATTAAAGGCGTATTTCCTAAACGAACAATAGTATGATGCGTTACCTGAAAGCATCTCTCCTCCTGTGGGCACAGTTTCTTAAGTATGGTCCCCTGGTCGGGCCCCGCTTTGAAGTTTCCCTGGTGACCGGCGAGTTGGATCCAGGGGTAGCGCTGCTTCTTGTATGTCTGGAAGAAGGGCGTCCACTGCACGATGTTGCGCAGCTTACGCCATCTTTCTGACTGCTGGAACGAGACAAGGCTTGCTTTAAAATGATCTTTAACAGTAACGTCACAAAATGATTTAGAATCAGGCCGCTCTGGTACACAAGCCTTTGACCTTTTTGAAATTTAACGTTTCGATTTACAGAATACAAAACATCCTATTTGTGTGTGCATTTATTCTTAATTCAATTCAATTATTTAGTTCTAATTTTTTTAATAACCTTTACGCACGCCTTTCAAATGCCCGAATTCATTGATAAAAATTTATGTCGGTACTTGGCGATTATTTTGAAGATAGGGCCGAGAACTGACAATGACAGTGTAAGATGTATCCCCATGGATTGATAGCTATGAGTGATGAGTATAATTTATTAATGCAATTATTATTCGAAATAATTTAATAACGCAGTATTAATGGAATGTATGCATTCCGCGAATCTGTAACGTGCGTTTGAATTATATTTCCTGTTAACATTAAACTGTGTTAAACCCACAACCACTTTAATTAACTGTTCAGGTTATTCCTCCTTCGTTTTTTTACCTATTACGTATCGACGCTGCGGGGTTTTACTACATATATTTTTATATACAAATAATGTTATCGGACCATACAAAAGTTTACTTATCTAAAATGACGAAGGAAAAAGCAAAAAAATCTTGAAGAGAATACATATATGTGTACCAAACATTGCTTGGTGATTAGGAACTAGCTTTCGTGATATTGTTGGGTGTTTCATCATGTTGTGTTTCATCATAATGATGATGCACAACTCAGCATACGTGCACCCTAAAGGTTTTTGTACAACAGGTGTTATTGATTTCCTTAAAGGGTAATTATTTGATTTCGTATTTTGTAATATAATTTGTAATCATAAGAAGAAAGAAGGGCTGCTTTCACAAATATACATAGTAGATTTAAAATACCAATAGTAATTACCACTGTTATGAGTATCCAATTGAAATATGTTATAAACAATGCGAATGCTTAAAATAAGAATATAACAATGTAGATAAAAATATATTGATATTTTCGTCGGCATGAGAATCAGCGTTTAGCTCAGTAGCTTTTAGTAGCTTAGTAGCTTTGTACAGTGGTAAAAGCGTCTAGGCGCGATTCCGGAAGACGTTTGTTCGATTCCTGCGGTGACGAGTCTCATTTTGGCCATTTTTAGGGTTCCGTGCACAAATAGTAAAACGGGATCATATTACTAAAACTCCTCTCTCCGTCCGTCGGTTACCTGGCTTTTCACATTTTCACAGATGATATTTCTGTTGCCGCTATAACAATAAATACTAAAAAACGGTATTAAAATATTTAAGCGGGTCTCCTATACAACAGACATGATTTTTTTGCCGTTTTTGTAGATTTGACTTTTTTTTTGCACTTGACCGGTTTTTTCTAAAATTTTTAATGCGAATACCCTTTTGTGGTCAAAAAGACTACACAATATGTGCGGAATGTGGATTTGAATGAAATATCATTGCCCACTTATTCAGAACTTGTTTAATAAAAAGTATCCTTTTTTTAAAAACGTATCCTTTTTTTAACAACGTAGGTACGTGATATTACAGAATGTGCATAAAGATCATTTCATCTTTAAGATAAATGCTTCCTTATAAAAAGGATATATGTGAAACAATGGCGAACTTTCAACACAGTTTTTACTGTCTTTTTCTTCTTGCAATCATCAGATGAGTTAAATGTAGTTTAACCTAATAAAATATATCGTTATTGTCTGAACAAAATAAAATACGTAGGTATTACGGATTAACGTTTACCCGCGATGTCTTGATATCTGAAGTAACTTAAGCCTCTTTTCCTGGATTTCGAAATAAGCGATTAAAGGGTAAAACTCTACAACAAAGAGTTATTAATTCTTAGATTGACATTTCATTACTAAATGATTTTTGAAAGTTGTACAGGAACAAACTGGTATTTTTTCAAAGTTGTTTTAAATTTTTAAAATATTCTCCAATAATTTTTAATACCCTCAATGTAGTTAAAAAATAAATTATCATTTAATTAGTAAAACCGTTATAATTCACCATACCTTTCTGCTTTTAGAAACGTAAACCCAAAAAACGACATCCACGAACTCGTCTATGTGAAAGCAAATGTTCCCTGAGAGCATTATCACTGACGATCACAATATCACAAGGTGACAATTACCGAGCACAGAAACACCGAAGTTTGACCGTATTCGCCCGAAAGTAGTCGCGAGGAAACGTTCGAAATTCAAATTATACCAGCGGCGAGTATCGCAAATGGCACTCGGAACGGCACTGACCATCGCGGCGCGCGGACCGCTAATATAAACCATAATATCTGTTGTTCTGACTCAGTTGAAACCGCAATGCTAGAAGTGACGCAAACATCGCGTATGAAACGTTTCTCACATGAAACCCTCGGATTGGCGGAAAACGCGGATCTCGGCAGCTCTCGTACGATTAAGGTTTCTTATGACCGGTGACAATTCTTAACTTGTTCGATGCTTTCGCGTGTGTCAATTTCTCCGTGTTGCCTTGAAAAATAACAAAACAAAACTTTTGCGAAACGCGTAAGCTTGTTCCATTATCGAGGGGCAAATGGCGAAGAGATTTAAATAATTGTAGAAAAAAGTGAGAATTCCATAATCAATTGGGGACAATTAAATTTTTTGAACTCTTTAATACACCGGATAAATGTATTCCATACCATTGAATCCAGAAAAAATTACATATGAAAGAACTAAGCAGGCAAAGCTTTCTATATAAACGTACGCTTTTATTATTTAAGCTTTTACTTTTAAAACTTTATGTTAAGTTTAAAAATCTTATTATTTGATCAACCATTGTATCGGCTATCCGAGAAACTTTCGTAAACTCTTGTGGGTTACTTTATCTCAATTTCTGCTTACCCGTTAAGGGTAGAAGGTCGTAACACGGAATAATTAATAACAATACTATATGTAATTTAAGTCGAGTTTAATACGTGAAATTTACAAGTTTACCGTTGTTTTCATTTTCTTTTTTATGTTCCAATCATAATCTTTAATTATTAAAATATCACATCTATTACATTTAATTGAAAAGTATCCAAAAACATTGTCATGTATAACATACATCAGCACCTAGAAAGATTAGCCCGAATCTAGTAGACTATATTTCTTCGATTGACCGGTTGCTGCAATAGAGAAAGCTTAAAGGTACTTCACGACAAAAGAGAAAAAATATGTCTAGGTCTAGTCCTGAAAACCTCTAGAATGCGCCGCTCTTTTGCAATGGTGTGGTGATAGAAATTATATAGCGAGATCTTAAGCATTTTTGTATAATAATTATTTTTCTTTTCTACAATACATTGCACTGGCCTTAGGATTTTTAAAAAAGAGCAACTGTTGAGTTTCTTGCCGGTTTCTTCTCAACAGAAACTGCTTTCCGAACCGGTGGTAACTTACGAACGTGTGAATTTCTTGTAAAAATTTTAAAGAACGCGCAAGCGTCTCTGTTGTAAACATGTCTTATAAACGTAAATTTCACATGGACCAACATCCAGATGCAAAACAATCATCTGTGAGTCACACAAATAGTTGTCTCGTGTGGGAATCGAACACACGACCCTCAACGCCGAAGCCAATACCTCGGCAACTGCGCATCGGAGTCCTCAATAATGATGAAAGCGTCTATCTATGTGTATATATACTGTTACAGAGAGGTAAAACCCAGTCAGATAATAGCTACCGATCGAGCCGAGGTCCCCACTCTGGGACCCTTGAGCCTGATCACTCTATGGAGCGCCCGCCAAAGCGCCCTAAGAGCTTGGCGGCCTCCCAAACCGGTGGTAATAATAGCGTCACGGCCCGAGCCGAGGCTCCCCGGGAGCCCTCGATCTTAGTCACCATAACGCGTAACCAACAGTGGCTCATCCAGACAAAAAAAAGAGGTAAAATTTATATTTTCTTTGTAATCTAGGTGTAACAGATTTATCTCTGAATCGATTAAAGCGATAATTTATTTCACTAATGTGAAGCTATTTTTGTTTACCTTACCTTTCGGGTTTTCTCTTAGAGAGAAATGAGCTCATGCGTGCTTTATCTATGGTTAGGTGACTATGGACTATTAAGGTTCGGCAGGAACGGGTGCTAACTAGAACCTGTGTTAATTTAGTACCTATTCTAGAACCCTGTATTGATTTAAGTATTACTAAGATTGTCATTTACTCCAAGAGGTGGATACAATGATATTATATACAATTAATATTAAGTTATACAAATACTAACATTTAATATTATTAAAACATCATTGTGTGGACATATAAAACTAATGCAGTCATACGTGTCACCCATCATATTTACTCCGAAACGCGATAGTTTACGTACGTAACGTCAATTCTGAATACTGAAATAACGCTCACCTCACATTAATTGTAATATTGTATCATACACTACCTGAAACCGGCCACACTTTACTGTGGTTTTTTTTTTTTCGTTCCTAATGGAACTTCGGAATAAAATGTATATAAAAATAGTTTCCTATTTATTAGCTATGTTGTGAACAAATATCAATATATATATCCATCGGATCCATTTTTGAGTTTTGTTAGCACAAACATACCAACCTAGCAAAATCTAATATATAAAATTCTCGTGTCACGGTGTTTGTAATTGAACTCTTCCGAAACGGCTCAACCTTTTTTTGTGAAATTTTGTATGCATATCGGCCAGGGTAGAGAATTGGGCAACATCTATTTTTCATCCCCCTAAATGTTAAGGGTGGTCCACCCTAAACAGTTTTTTCTACCTTACAAATTCCCTAGAAATAATTTAAATGGTAGAACAACGTTTGCCGGGATAGCTAGATTTTATATATAAAAGTTTGGTAGTCAATAAGGTTGCGTGGTAATTGTTAAATTTTTAGAGCTTTTTCTTTTGATTTTTTTTTTATTTGATTAACGGACATTTTGATTTCCGTCTAAAAATATGTGAGTACGTTGCTCGACTTTATTAAATGCTGCGTCCTCAGCAATGACATAATCGGGTGTGTAGTTCCAAACATTGCTTATTACATACAAACAAAAATAAATTCTCCTTATTACGACCCGAATGGCGTAGTCGGTAGTTTACCTGCCTTCGGCGCCAGAGGGTGTGGGTTCGATCCCCACTACTGGAAAAATATTGTGTGATGAGCATTTTTCTAGCGTCTGGGTGTTTATATATGTATAATGTGTATTTATTTATAAAAGAAAGGACCTTTATCAGTTTTCTAGTACCCATAGTACAAGCGTTGCTTAGTTTGAGACTAGAGAACGTTGTGTAAAAAATGTGTCCGAAATATTTATTTATTTATTATTAGCATAACAGCCGCATAATTAGTGGAGTAGTGAGTCAAAAATGATCTGGGGAAAAAGTGAGTTCAAATATCAGGCTGCTATTTCCAATGAGTATCGCCCATTTTACGCGGATTTTCCGTAATCTATGTTGGATTGGTTGGATTGGTTGGATCGTTGGATAGTTGGATGAACGCTAAAAAGTTACAACGTAAATTCAATTATAATTCTTTTTTTTTTTATTTTAAATTATGGACCCTTTTGTGGTTTTTTAAGATTCCCGTAAATCGCTTTCAAAGTGAAATAGATAAGAATGTTAAGATAACAATGAAAGAAAAAGTAGCATCTGGGTTATAATGTAAGAGTAATCTTACTTTAATTCTTTATTTATATAGAAATGGACCGTCATACCTTTGAATTATGTCAGTCATGAACCATCCTATGAATTAACGAGAAATTGTTAGTTAACAAATAAATTTAGGACATCATTTTATCCAAGCCAATTTTGACAATAATACCGTCGAGCTGTTGAAAATTCCAAAAACACATGACGCGCAATGACTCACTGCTTAGGACAGAAGTTCGCGCGAAACATTTGTGACGACACTAAATTTCCAATGTGAATTTTTTAATCGATTTGCAACTTAAGCATATCGCTTCGGCTGGCGGTTTTACCGCGAATCACTTGGGACTCCCCTCGAGCGAGATTAGCTCGGAGCTAAGTTCAATCAAATGATCTCTTTCTTACCTACTAGGCATAAATGACATGCATAGAAAAAAGTACATTTTCAAAAGGCGACCTCTTTTCCTCGTGATTTTATGATAGATGGGTTCAATATGTGAAATACTACTCAATAATAATAATCTATATATATTATATACATGTATAATTCTTCGGGTGTATGTCACTGAACTCCTTCTAGACGGCTCGACCGATTTTAATGAATTTTTTTGAGTCTTCAGGTCGATTCGAGAATCTTTTAGATTCACAATTCGGTCCACTAGAATTTTTTGTTTTTTTATTTCTTAGTTTGCGAATTAAGTCGTGTGTACAGGACAACGTCTGACCGGTCCGCCAGTATTATTGTAAAGATTCTTATTATATGTCTGTGCTTATTGCAATTCGGAAGGAAATTTCAAGCGGCGCCTAGGGAAAAAGTATGTCTCGATACACAACATCGTTTTCGGATGCGGAAGGGCAACTGGTGGTATTAATTGACATTTATCTACATGTACATTTAAGTAAACTAACTTTTAATTGTTATTTTTTTTGATAAATAAATCATGAACTTATAGACGTTACACATAAATTCATTACCGCCGTAGATTGCGCGGTCCAGTAAACACGTTATCCACCTTACACTTATAATGCTTAATTAAGACTCCAATTAATTCAGCATGTGTCTACGGGCACCTTTCAATAATTACCTGATCGCAGCAAACAGACCGAGCAATGTTTCAATAACGTCATGCTGTTATCATTTATGCTTTTAATTAATTTCTTGTTAACGTTGACATGGAGTTATATTATGCATTAAATTGTTACATTTATTTACCATCACACAAGATATGGTTTGTGATGGTACAATTATAATTGTTTTTAGTTCCACTTGTATAGCCACCTAGAAATGGCATGCAAATATAAATAAATATAAATATATACAGAAAATCAATTGTTTAACGGTTTCGTATAGTCACAAATGCTACATACTGTGAAATTAAACTCTGTTGAGACGTCGAGAATTTAAATCTATAACAAATACAGTCTCATTTAACCATGAAATTGTGAAAAATAATTTTATTGTGTTAAATTTTATAGTACAACAGCAAAAAATTACATATGAACCTTAGGTCCGTTGCGTTGGCTATGCTTGATCTGAATCTGAAATCTCTATGGATCTGATCTAGAAATCTGATAGGATACAGCCAGAAAAAGCTCTATCTGTCATCTTGCTGTGTTCTAAAATTTACTAAACATATTTGAGGTAATCTAGCGCTAATAGGAAATAACATACGATACTTTTTAGAAGATTGTTTACTTTCAATGATAATTAGTTCCGTACCCAATAGGTAAAACGGGACCCTATTGCTAAGACTCCGCTGCCTGTCTTATCCGTCCGTCACCAGGCTGTATCTTATGAACCGTGATAGTTAGACAGTTGAAATTTTCGCAGATGATGTATTTCTGTTGCCGCTATAGCAACAAATACTAATAAACAGAATCATCAAAAATTAAATTAAATGGGGCTCCCAAACAACAGACATGAATTTTTGCTGTTCATAGATAATGGTTACGTACCATACCTTCGTGCGCGATTCCGACTCGCACTTGGCCGGTTTATTATAAGTAATTTACATAAAGTTCCTCTCACAAACACATATAAACATATAAAGATAAGGTTGCAGTTGGTGCTTTAAAAGATGGGGCCCGGGATCCTGGCTAAACAAACGAAATGCAATAATACAATACTTCCACTTCCCGCCGGCCTCCTGTGAGTGCGTGGTATCCCATACCTCAACGTTTCATCATACCTCAATCATACCTCATCCCATAGTTCACCCATTTTGAAGCAGATGCTGCTGTATGGCCCTACCACATGTCATACTAAACTTAATTTTGACTCATGTTTTTACTTTCAGTCCGTAGACATAAAGCTTCATAAAAAGTATTGGGCTATCCAGCCAGCTATTACAGGCTATTGGGCTATCCAGATCCCAAGAGCTGAACACGGCCTTCTGGTTATCATTTAACATCAGGTTAACCGGCTCGTTTGCAATCAAATGTTTGCGAGAGATCACAAACACTACATTAAGTTCAGAAATACTGTCGTACACATATCGACCAGCGATTTAGTTAGCTTCAATGCGGGGAACGGCTCTGGTCGATAAACAGACCCAATATTGCCTTTTAAGGCGCTGCCGACTAGTTGTTCCATGTGCATAATTCATCGCGGTAAGTATCGCAGATTGAAATCTCGCGCGTCACTCAATTGGTGGTCTGTCACGCCGCCACGCAGTGATCGTGAGACCACATTACGACCTCACAATTGCTCCGATTCCCTCGACGCTAAATTGATTGCAAAGAAATTGATTTAATGACCGCCCAAACATTACCTCCCTGCGTGATTTGCCCGGTCCGTACCTCTCGTTCATCTTTGGACCATTGTAAACATATGAAGGACGTCATCAATGTGTCAAATGGCTAGAGGATACTTACGCAGTTTCTTTTGCCTGTTTCTTCTCTGCTAGATGAATCTCATTACGAAACGAAATCTTCCACAGATTTAAAAAAAAATATGACAATCCATAGATGAAATGTATATTTCTTATGTCGATGAATAAATGATTTTGATTTTGATTTTGAAAGATACTTTTTTACGAAAAAGTGCCAGAGATAACTCTCTCCATGACCATCCGCAACATCATTATTGCAAATGCATTGCTGGTGTTTGTTTTTGCGTCCTGTTTCAAGATTTCCTTACAACTGGAACAATGTTTTAAGTTAGTGTCAAAATGTCACAATATAAATACCAAAAATTTAACATAATGACAAATCTTCAACTTGAAATGCATCGAAATTTCTTCAATTAAAAAAGTGTTACATAAAAGTGCCCGCCCAAGTGCTACATAAAAACGGCAAAAAAAATAATGTCTGTTATATGGGAGTTTTAAATATTTTTTATTCTGTTTTTTAGTTTTTGTTGTTATAGCGGCAACGTGTGAGAATTTCAACTGTCTAACTATCACGGTTCATGAGATACAGCCTGGTGACAGACGGACAGACTGACAAACAGACAGCGGAGTCTTAGTAACAGGGTCCCGTTTTACCTTTTGAATACGGAAGGCTAAAACCTAAGTAGTGCCATTAAGGAACGCAGGGCCGGACTTAGGGAAGGGCAACAGCCCCGGGACCTCCACAGAAGAGGAGCCCGCACAATAGAGACTTCGGCAAGAAATAATTCAAAATCAGTCTAGTAAACACTAGTAAACAACTTTTAATTTTAGATATTTCTTGTTTTCAATTATATTTATATGTTCGTTAAATCATAACAGAATCTATCCTTGGGTTCACAATAAATTCGAAAACCCGACTGAAAAAATTGTTCATTTTATTTGGGGTCAAGGGACTTCCACTCCTTTGTTGCCCCGAGGCCTCCAGACCTCTAAATCCGGTCCTGAAGGGTATTATCTTCAATTATGTTTAAGAGTAAACTATTATCATTAACATTAAAGTCTAACGATCGAAGGTGAAGTATTTCTGAATTTATATTAACAATCAATATACACGGAGTAAAAGGAAGAAAACAATCATTAGCACTTAAATAGAACTAACGTAGCAGAATGTAAGTTTTTATAACAGTAAATATTAGTTAGTTGTGCATCCCAAATGTTAAAAAACTAGTCACGTATGCGGTTAGTTAAAGCTTTAAATATGACATTGCATAACACATAAACACAAAATGTACTTATACATTAATAGGATGTGGTTATTTTCGGTCCTATGTAGTTGGAAACGCTCATAAAAAGTATTTTTTTATATATAATTTCATATTATATAGTTTTGTTCGCACATAAAAGTGATAAAAAATGTTTTTAAACAAATTAAGTTATTCATCAAAGTTTTCCCTTGTAATTAGTTACTCTATCGGAAAAGCTATTTATGTTTGAAACATATAATTTTATATGACCATTCTAAAACACTTCTGCCATCTGTGGTGGGGCCACGCAGCAGCTTCTGCTGTTGCACAAATAGGCAGGCTCATTTGGGGAAGTACCAGGCGTCCTAGAAAGCGTGAATTTTCGCATTTCGTCTGATAAGTGAGGTATGGCCCACTTTATGTAATCGTTGGCAACGCTTCTGCGATCAATAAGGTTTTGCTCCATGGCTGGTGGTAATCACGTAACATCGGGTAAACCACCTGCTTGCTTGTCAACTTTTAAACCGACTTCAAAAAAGAAGGAGGTTCTCAGTTTGACTGTATTTTTTATGTTTGTAAACTCAGAATTTCCTCTAAATTGCTCACCTCCTTAACGGTGGTAGAGCTATGCAACAGACTCGGCTGTTGCACAAATGGGCAGGCTCGTCCGGGTAAGTACTACGACCTCACAGAAGTCCGGCGTAAAGTGGAAGTATGACAAATACTTTCGCGTTTCGTCTGGTGAGTGAGGTAGCCGGAGCCCAATTTCCAAAAAGGTTGTCAACGCATCTGCAAACCCTCGGGTGTAGCAGATATCCATGGGTCGCGGTATTCACTTAACATCAGGTGAACCGTCTGCTCGTTTGGCAACTTTTTCGCATAAAAAAAAAAATTTCGACTGAGTGAACTGATTTTGATGATTCTTTTTTATTTGAAAGCTTTCTTTTGTTTTTCATTAATTTCATTGTTATTGGATCTTGGCCTCCGGAGATTCGTAGGGAAGTCCTAAAAATCAATTATAAAATGACTGTATTCATTTTATAATTGATTTTTAGGAGCGAGAAATTTGAAGTAGGTTTTGTTTTTCGTTATTAAAAAAAACTTACTTGTACACAATAAAAACTTATTGACTCCAACTATGTCACGTTAATAATGATTAATCGCGGTCTTAATACATTAGGAAAAATAAAAATCGTATCGTTAAAATTATGTCTGTTGGCGCAAAGGTTATCTATGTACTCCGCGCTTAATGTGATAATGATATTTAATAATTGAAGATGCATCAATGAATGTTTTATTTAGAACAATGGAAATAAACAACATTAAATTATACCAGCATCATAAACACAAATAGTAGGGTATGTTTTCTACATCGTGATATAGGGAAATTTTTGGCTTTATTAAAAACTAGCTTTTCGCCAGCGGCTTTGCTCGCGTGAGGCCCTTAAATAAATATCTTTCTTTAAAAAAATGTCCTTTCCCAGGCTCTAGACTATATGTGTACCAAATTTAATTTAAATCGGTTCAGTAGTTTTAGCGTGAAAGCGAGACAGACAGACAGAGTTACTTTAGCATTTATAATATTGGTATAGATTAATTTAGGTTAACCATATAAAAAATGAATGCTTGAAAGGAATGTCAAATATCTTTTTTGAGAAAAACTGCCATAAGAATAGTTAATTCGTACGGCGTATTTCGTCTAATCAAATTACGATTTCCAAAAAAAATATTTTTCTAATAAATCTAATTAATAGAATGTAATTTAAAAAAATAGTGAAGCTTTGCAAGGATTGCCATAATTAATATTGTATGTTGATATGATGTAAAGAAAGATAAGTTAAATAACTGCCTATATGTGTCCTGCCTCCTCTGGAAGGAGAGTATTAGAGCATAATCCACTACACGACCCTACGCATATTTACATATCTTCGACATATTTTTGTAAATTATTATTTCAAATATAATATGCAAATTTCCTCACGATGTTTTCCTTCATCGCTGAGCACGTGATAAGTCAGCACTTAAAATTACAAATAACAATTTCAATGGTGCTCCGGCAACGGCCGTCTATCTAACACTATACAATAAGATTTACAATAATTTCACTCCAAGTTCACTATCAAACCCTGGATGTCTCCAGGCTTAATTCGATGTTCTAAACATAAAGATAGGCTACATCTAGAAACAAAAAAACATCCATACGATGCGAATAAAAAACTTATTTACACTAGATATCGCAATTTTTTTCCCTTTTAAGAAAATTAAAATGTGATTATGATCATCGAGAAATATAAATAAATAAAAATGTTCCTAAAAAGCTATGGAAATCATTAAAAAAAATTCGCCTGCAACTCTCACAATGTATGTCAATTGTAGACACTATAAGTGATTCCTTAGATGAATGTAATTCTGCTCTATTGGTCAAGTACTAGCCAACAAAAACTTGTACCGCCTCAATGAAACCCAGGAATCACTTGCTGCGAGGCTAGTTATTGGCAACTCACCAATCCATTCACTCTTCCTTAGCCCCACGAATGAACAGGAGGTCCTAGATCATATAAACCAACTAGACCCAGACAGCTCCCCAGGTATTGATAATATAAATAACAGAACACTTAAAGCAATCGGATCGACAATAGCGATGCCACTCGCAACTCTTTTCAACCACAGCTTAGAGTTGGGTATATTTCCAAGTATTTGGAAAACTGCAGGGGTAGTACCCATTTATAAAGTTGGCTGTACCAATGATCCGAGCAATTTTAGACCTATTTCCCTACTGGCAACAATTTCCAAAATTTTGGAAAAAATCGTATGTAAAAGGTGGATATCCTATCTTGAAACAAACAGATTGATCTCCTCTCGACAGTTTGGCTTCCGCAAGAATAAATCAACTGAAGATGCAGTCTGTCTTCTCACAGAGATAATTGCATCTCATTTAGATAGAGGTCGGGACTGTATCGGAGTCTTTCTTGATCTTACCAAAGCTTTCGATACAGTCTCTATTCCTATTCTTTTAAAAAAGCTGGAGGCATACTACGGTATAAGAGGCATTGCATTACAGTGGTTTTCTAGCTACCTATTAGACAGAAAACAGTGCGTTAACATTAGTAATCAAATGAGTGGTGTAAACTCAGTATGCTTTGGTGTACCACAAGGTAGCATCCTTGGACCAACTTTATTTCTTTTATATGTGAATGATTTAATATCGCTTCCTATGCAGAATGTCGAAGTAATCTGTTATGCTGATGACACAGCACTTGTTTTCCATTATCTGTCTTGGTCCAAAGTTTGTAGAAGAGCTGAAGAAGGCCTCTCCCTAGTCTCAACATGGTTATGTAAAAATATCTTGACACTCAACATGGATAAGACTAAATATATTTGTTTCCATAAAACCTTGTCCTCAGCTCCGATTAATCTGAGCGTCTTAAAGATACATACACCCTACTGTCCAGCCATTAATAGTAATTCCATCTGTAACTGCGCTTATATAAAAAGAGTCAACACCCAGAAGTACTTATGAATAATACTTGATGAGAAGCTCACTTTTAAAACACATATCATCGATATTTCAAAAAAGATAAGAAAATTAATGCCAATATTTAGGAGCCTTCGGGAGGGTGCTGACAATAAAATACTGAAGTTGGTATATTTTTCTTTATGCCAGTCAATCATTAATTACAGTATACTAGCTTGGGGTGGTGCTGCCGAATCGAATCTTGTTATACTAGAGAGTGC